CACTTCTTGTCCTGCAAATGAGACAGGATACAGAATCGCTCCGGCGAATTCAGGCCACAGGTAGAACTGGCCGTCAGTCGGTTCTCGCGGCCAATCAGCAGGTTACCGGTGGCCGGATAGCATGAGGATCGCTCGCACGGATGAGTCTTGATGTACTGCCGCGGGGGATTGCGCGGCCGGTCACGACGCCCATGCTGCGGCGGCCTCTGCGCCTCCGTGCCCCATAGTGGGGTGAATACGGCGAGCACAAAGAAAGCCGCGATAAGGCCGCTGCGATGCGGTCGCAGCAGCTCCAACATCGCAAACGGTCACAGTCTACTCTCTGATTCTCTCGCTCGCGCTCTCTCTCTCTCTCTCTCTCTCGCTGTGTCTGGTTGGGGTCGTGTTCTACTGGCGGACTTCCGGTCGCTTCTTTAATCAGCTTTTTATTTCGTTTCGTTTGTGCCACGTGATCCTCTTTAGGATAATCTGAAAAGGGAAAACTATGAATGTAAAATCAATATCCGTAGCTGTTTATCTCGCTTACTCTTCTGCTTCTGCTTCCTTTAACTCTTGTTCTCTCTGGTGCACCGTTATCCTTTCATGCTGCGCTCTCCTTAAGCTCTGAAGAACAAGGGAAAACATAAGTTAGATTTCGTTCTATATGTATAGTGTATATATGTATGTTCGTATGGTGATCTCTTTCTCTGCCCACACACTTTGATCTTCTTATCAACATGAGATGCTCTAATTTTCACATTTATTTTCGTTTTCTCGTACCAAATAGTAGCCACCATCCACACCCAACGAAACTTACGCACCGACTGAGACGCAGACTCGAAACGGAAAACTGAATGAACTCAAACCCCCCCCCAACTACAACGAATATGAATAAAGGCGATAAACCCCAGCCCAGTGTTTCTGTGTGACTAAAGTTTAATCCGTTGTTGCCTGGTGCCTGCCTGGTTTATCAGCTTCCAGTCTTGGATCTTGGACCAAATGAACCACTTGGATCACTCGTATTTTGTTTAAACGAGTAGAGTAAAACCAATGTGCAATGGAAGGAAAGTGTAGAATCGCGCCATCTATAGAATGCAGGAGAGTTTTGAGGAGAAAAGAGGGAACGAGTACCGGGTATAAAATGTAGGTTCTCCTTCCTATTTAGAGCACTGTGCGGTACTTAAAATCAAGCAAAATCTTTCAGAAAAGCATTTCAGTCTCCAGGGCTTAAATTTAACTATTGGAATGGAACCATTGCAGTTATTTTCTTCGCTTTACACTGAGAGTATAACAAATTCGTGGCCGTCTTCTAGTCCCCGATTTCCCCATGCCCATATGCCAGAAGCCGTACTTCATCTCTTATCGCCGGTCGCCGCCAGAGAGAGGCCAGAGGGGGGCCACGCAAACCAAATCGAAACCAAAAAAGTAAACTGGGCTACGCGCTGGAGATAAGCATTACCCAAAGTCTCGAAATGCCGTCGGGCAATCCAGCAAACGAGATGGGGAGCAGTGGAGCCCATTGTCGGGGACTAGCTGCACCTCGGGCAAAGAATAGTTCATAATTTAATCTCAACCCCATAAAAGAGTTCATTCACAGATACAGATAAAGATACATTTATGGTCCCGTAAAACCAAAGGAATTCCCAGACTCTACGAGTTTTTGCCAAGATGTTTGAAAACATTTTTTTGGAACGCTTTTCCTTTATTCTTGAACAGCATCGAAGCTATCCCTCAGGTGTTTAATATATTCCGATGTATCTGAAAGGGAATTTAGAGTTTCGTATCGCAAATAGAAGATTTTTTTAAGGGTATCAAGAGGTTAGTACTCCGTATGTATCGTTTATTGTTAAAATTTTCTGTTTTCTGTTTGTTCGTTGATTAATTTCGTTTTTCAGTTTCGTTCTAAAAGGCGGCACAGACCACTGAGGAAACGGGCAAATAAACAAAACGGCAAAAACAAAAAAAAAAAACAACACACACATCACATCTACAGATGGGGTTATTATCGGTATATGTACATACATATATGTATGTATGTACGTATGTAAATAATGGAGCGGCAGACGACTTCGTGGAATGTACATACTCGTATGTATGTATGCATGTACATATGTATGTATGTATGTATATAGAGACTCCTCTGGACAGTTTATAAAAATTGCTCATACAATTTTCTTGGTTTTGTTATGTTCTCCAGCGATGGTGTTTATATTTCCAATTTGATTTGACCACACAAAAACACATCAGTGAACACTCGCACCGCACACAGAATGAGCCGCAATTCTGTTGTTGGGCGTCTGGAGCACACATGTTGTGGAAGTTTTAGAATCTAACATATGACATCAGACGCTGTGCTATTATTAGACGCCCAAACTGCACAACGAATCCTTCCTGTCCCCCGCAAAACAATCTACATAGATTCTAGAAAGATGAATGCCAATCTGCCTCCAAGGCGAAGCTTGGCTCACATTTTAATTAGCCATCCATCCCCCCTCCCCGCCCATTGTTGCCGAGCCGAAAAGCGCTTAGAAGTGCACTTTTTCGAGTCCAGTCCCCTGCCTTGTAGTACGAACACGAGTAATGTCTTCACTTTGAGGCATGGCATCATGTTACAGCAATGCACATAGTCCACACTTAAATTTCTAGGCATGTAATCGTACGGGTACATTGAATTAGTTATGTCTTCTGCGACATATGTACGAACTATTGAATACCGCTTACTATTGGGGCCAATCAGAGGATATATAGATCAGCTAGCAAATACCTAGTACTTTGGACTAGGAAAAAAAGGTACTACCAGTACTTTTCGTCCATCAGCTGACCAAATAGAAATACATTTCCACAAAGACCCTTCAGTATAACAGTTGATCCCTACGATTAATACATATAACAGAACACTCATCCCGTTACGGAATTATCTTTACTTTTGAGATCGGACATAAACAGAGACGGCCATACAGAAGACAGAGCAACGGATGCGATGGAGGAGAAGGAACAGCAACAAAAACACAAACAGGGCACAAAATAATCAACTCTAAAGAGAGTGGAGGAGGCCAGCTGTGGGTAAAACTGCGTAAAAACTTCGCGTGGATAGGGAAAAACACACTGTAAATGCACTCACCGGACAATCTGATTCCAGCTACAGAACGTGGGTTTGTATGAAAATTCCTTGCGTGCGGGGGGGAGAGAGTGCTACGTTTCCCCAAAAACATTTTCTGTTATACAGAAAAAACAACAAACACAACACGCCGCTCGCAGCGGAAAGTTGTTTTTGGTTGCAGCGCCAACACTTTTTTGACTTCTTTTTATAAACTTCAAACAGAAGGGAGTACACACACACACGCACACACAAAGGCACAGAGATACGGAGAGGAGAAACAAGAAGATATTTTCCAAGACAATCGGAAAGGAAAAGATCTCGATCCGCGGCCACCGAGAAAGAGTATGAAGAGCGCGAAAAGGCGCTCAGGACCGAACACTGAAGTTGACTCAAAGTATATTTAGTTAAGGTGCGGCGATCTTAGAATGGGCTCTAAAGATATTCACACAGATATTCACAATAATAAGAGCCACTTGCAGAGTGGCAAGTGCGCCTCACCCTATCTAAACCGACCTTGCGCTGGCACCAATCTCATCAACAAGTGAGGCGGGAGAGAGAAAGAGAGAGCCAGAGAGCGCGAGCAGAGAGTTTGTACCTGGTGCACGCTTCGTAGGCCTTTTTTCAACGAAAATGCAATTTCACACAGATGTAAATATGGTTGTGTATATGTGTGTGTGTTGCTAACGCCGCCTAAACACTTGTATATGAAGTAAAAAATCAAGTATATACATATGTATGTACTATTATTTATTTTAAAATTTGAGTAAATTTAGTTATTTTTAAATGTAACGGCTCCCGTTCCAGTCGTTTCCCTAGCCACGCAAACATCGATACAAACTTCGTGAAATACATCGCACCTATTCATCGACTGTGAAACATAAAATAATGTTGCCAAGGATGTTGCAAAGCGTTTTATATTTTATGGATATTTTTTCTCTTTGAAATTGGGAACATATCCTTACGCAGCATCGTTACTTCGATCGCAGCAATTCCATTCTCATTTATGTTGCATTACGTTACATCCATCCCCCGTTTTTTCCGGGCATCATTGATGGGCCAACAATGTCCATACATCTCAGTTCATGTTGACCATTCGAGTGACATTCCAGTTTCAACCAATTCGAACTAGTCGTCTTTTTTAGCTATCTCAAGGTTTTGACTTTGGCCGCAAAATCTTGTATTCGCTTGAATCTCTCTATAGCGCAGTTCAGGTGAATCCTCAGCTTCAGGTGGTCATTTTTGAAAATTAAAGAGCAAGAATAGATCTACAAGAAGATTCACAAACAGCATATTTTTCATGCGGTTGAACTCGGCGGGCTAAGTTCGTTTTTCCTCGGTATATTTGCTGTATTTTTCTAAGGGGCAGACAATCGGAAAATCAACTAAAAATACGGACAAAGTACATTCTAGCTATGTATATGTTTGGTCACACTTTTCACATTTTCCTTGTGTGTGACCGTGTACTATATTTTTCGGGATTTTGGCAAAGTTTTGGCGTTTTTTACCAAACCAAAAACCGGTCACACTGGACAAGACAACAACAAATTTCGGCCGCCGCAAAACAGTCAAGACGGAGGCGCGCGCGTTTTTTCCATCAAAAATACCACAAAAATTGAAATAAAATCAAGAAAAACGCCGCCAAAACACACACACAATAAATAAAAAAAAAATTAAAAATATTAGTGTTATCTATAAAATATAAAGTGCCCCCACCCCAAAACCCCCTGCTGCTACCAACACCCCCTACCATATATATATGTGTATCCGTGTGTGTGCGCGAGTGTTTGTGTGTGTGAAAAATGCATTAATTACACCAATTCCAAGGCGAAAAGCTACAACAAAAAATACCAGAAAATAAAATACCACAGCAAATACAATCAAATACAAACAAAAACAAAAAAGAAAAAGCAAATATAAAATAAATACCAACCAAAAAAAAATTATGAAATTTTTTTTGTTGTTTTCTCAATACAAAAATAATTTTTTGTGATGCTTTTTCTGTTGAATGAAATTCGCAGAAAAATCGCAAAAAAAATCCCCAAAATTTGTTGTGTCTCTAAACAAGTATAATAACATAATATATAAACGGTATAATATTTGGACTCGCGATTCGGTTCGGGATCGTTGCGCCATAGCTTAAGAGCCCCCCGTGAAAGAACTGTACCGGTCGTCACGTCGCTCTTTGGAGGTTTTTCGAAAAAAATACCAGCAAAGAGATACCCACCAGGAAAATGCGTAAATTTCGAATACAGTCCAAAACGGGTGTACAATAAGCCAACAAAAACAGGATCCCTCAGCGGTTAAGGAACACCTCATCAATGGTGTAAGTATGACTGCATTTTGTGGTAGATTCAAGGAGCAGACAGGTGGGGCATGGCATCCCGTAATATGCGCTCGTTTTTTTCGGGGGAGAGAATTATTAAGGAGATTTCTAGGTAGACTTTTGTTTGTAGATACGCCTAAAATTCGAGGGAAGAATATTTTAATATAGAAGAAAAATGCACCGTTTATAAAGTGGAAATACATCGTTTTATAACGGGGAATTGGAGCAAAACGCCCCTTCTTGGAGATCCTTGTAGAGAGGGGAAATCGGTAATAAATATTTAGTGGCAAACAAATGCTGGTGCATTTGATGACGATTTCTGTAGCAATTAATGCGTAGTATAATTTCTCTAAAAGAGAATTCCCCAAAAGACAACTGTTTTAGAGCCTATATTCGATTTTTAGGATAATTTCATTGTGTTTCTTTTTATTTAGGAGGGATTTGTCCACTGGTTTTAGTTGGGTTTTGCATGTTTATTCAGGCACTACATTAGTAGATTGGGTATAATTCCATAAATGGGAACTATAGTAGTATAATTTCTATAGAATTCCTTTCAAAAAAGTTCTGTCCTTACCAATGTTAAAACTATCTAGGGAAATGTATACTTTTCATATGAATAAAAGAACAAAACATGTGCGAAAACAGACTTTATTTTTCAACAGAATCTGTATTCCTATAAATAAATTACTACAGATTAGAAAATGATTATCATTGTCACTTTTATATAATATTTCTTTCCATTTTATTATTTCATTGCAGCTCTCATTTCAATTGGTAAGAAAGGAAATCAAAACCCAACGAAAACCCAACCAATAAAATGTGTTTGCACAGTGCCAGAATCTATAGAGCTATATCTATTATGTAGTTTCAAAAAAGTGTACAAAAAGTGTTTAAAACAAGTGAAAAAGTCCGTTCAAAAAAAATAACACCATGAAAAGTCTTATAAAAGATGAAATATCCGCAAAATTAACCCAAGGAAATAATGAAACCAAAAAATGCACAAAAAAATTAAAATTAAACCACAAAAATGAAAAAATCCTAAAGTATCTATCCGTTAAAATACCGAGAAAAAATATGGAAAAGTCCTCAAAAAGTTCAGAGTCTAAATTTAACATAAAAAAGGAAACAATTCAACACATTCTATATAGAAAAAGAGGATATTCGCCAGCCGATCCGATCTGCAGCACAAAGAAAAATGGCACAACTTCTGTCTGGGGCGGGGGCTGGGGTTGTAGCTGGGGCACGCTCTGCTCTGCTACGCTGCCGGCTTCGCAGTCCTCTGTCGCTGTCCTCTGCTGGCTGCGGGCAGCAATTAACTCGAAAGCAAAGAATTTCATCAGAAATTCAAAGCACACACACATGGACATTCTTGTATACAAGAGGGATGGGACCGACGGATGACGTGCAACGGGGCTGAAAATAAAGAGCGGCGGCAGCGACGTTGGCAGCGACTACAAGCAGCAGCAGCGGGCGAAAAATCCAACGAAAAAGTAACATGGCGCTCGTTTGTTCGCCTGCATGTGTGTGTTTGCAGCAAAACTACACAAACGAACAACGCAAAATAAACTAGGCAGAGAGAGAGCGACATATGCGCTGCTTGCATAGGTCAAAACGAGATGGCCAGCGTTTTGTGTTGGAGAGAAATTGTCGTGTCGCGTAGCGTCAAATCGGTGATTTTTTTTGTTTCTTAACCCGTTTTGTATGCGTGCGCCTGCGCTGGTATGGGTGTGTATGTGTGTGGAATACTACGTCGTTGTGTGTGGCGAGAAAAACTACAAAGTTGTCGCACCATGTGGTGGCATCTCCTTACTACACCCCTCTCTCACTATCACGCTCTTCTTGCATCAAATACTGCAAAAGCTTCTCACTCCACCCCACCCCTCTGATATAAACCAGCAAATGCTTTCCATCCCCCTCTCTCTGACAGTAGCCGTTGCAAATGCGGTCGGTCGTCGTCGGTATCGTTGCTGCTTCATCATTCTGCTATTGCTTTGTGTGCATGTATATGTGGTCACGTAGCAGCGAACTAAATACATACACTCCCATGTGTATATATATGTATATATACATATGTGTGTGTGTGTGTAGATTCATGTATGCGTGTGAAAACGGGTTTTTTTTCTTCTGCTTGGGAAAATTCATGAATTCTAGGCGATCATCTTCTTTAATGGGGTTTTTTTCCCCCCATAATCATCATAGAACAGATCATTCAATATTTGATCTCCTAAAAACTAAACCAAATATCGCAATAAATGGTACCCGAACGCGTAAGGCCTTAAATGCCGTCTCTTGTTGTCTCAAAATGGCGTCAGGCGGCGCCTGTTAAAAACGAAAAAACTTAACGAAACGCAAAAAACGTGAACAACGCACAAAGAGAAACTATTTTCTGTGTAAAATTCTGTTATTTCTTTCAGTTTTTTATATTTGTTTTTTCGCACACGTCAACAAAGAGGGTGGGTGGGGTGGTTGGGATGCAGAGAGACAGAGAGAGAGCAAGTAGCAAAGAGAAACAACAACCGCACCCCATCAAGCATGTAAGGCGACTAAAGTGAGTCTGGCGCGAGCCCCAACTTTAAGTACAGCCAGGCCCTGGCGAGCGAGAGAGAAACTTTCACGATCGATTGGAGCAGCAGCAGGCAGCCCCATTGTGTTGCCCCTCCTCTGCCTTGTATAAATTAGCATAGGTGCGAGCGAGAGGCAGCTCGTTTCGTTCGGCATGCATACATATATATGTACATATACCGAAGAGCGGCTGCGCAGTTACCATTTTTGTATAGCCAGCTAGCACTCACTCGCATACATATGTACGTACATACAGTTGCGGTCAAAATAATAGTAGTGCTACAGAAAGTTTTGAAAATTACTAAGTCTACTGCATATTTTGCAAGGCTTTCGTTGTTAAACAATACTTGAATGGTTTATTTAACAGTCTGAATCTGTTTTAGTTTCGTTTTTATTCTTTTGGTGCTGATATCATGGGACGGGGCAAACACTATAGTGCGGAAAAGCGTTCGTGCTTAAAGGGCTCGTTTCAGAAGGAAAGTAAAATATGTCGAGGTGCAAGATATTGGTGGTTTAGCTATTATGATAAAAAATGATTTTAAATATCAGTACATCAATTATTTCGACAGGAGAGATGGCCGATGCAGGAGAGATGCAGGCATTAAAGCTAACATAGGCTACTCAACTAAATCTTAAAAAAAGCTTCAGAATTTCAGAAAAAAAATCGCTACTATTATTTTGAACGACCCGTTTTTGAGGAACTTCAACATATTAATATTTTTCGGAAAATGTTGATGGTTTGTTAGAAGTTGTTTTCTATTATTAAAATCTGCAAATAAGTTAGTCTTCATTGAGGTTATATGAAAAAGTCATATTGGCCCTACTATTATTTTGACCACAGCTGTACATACATGAATTTGCACAGCCACACTCACACATAGCCATGCTATATGTGATTTCCTGCCTGCGCCCCCAAAATGGAAAAAAACTACAACTACATGCGGGCTACAAAGCTACAATTCTATGCCGTATCAGGCAGGGGATACGTCGTCATCAGACGGAAGAACAACGCGCGTTCCCAAAGCACCCCTCATCGACACAGCAAGCACACGCACACACACACACACACACACTCAGTCGCAGACAGAGACGGCAAAATGACTACATAACCATTTATAAATATACAAGAGTAGTTGGGTGGTGGGCAGGACAGGGCAGTGGCAGTGGCAGAGGGAGAGAGAGAGAGAGCGCGACAGAGCAGAGAGATACTCGTTTTTCCATGCGGCCCTCCTCCCCCACCCCATACTCTTTGCTCTGTAGATACATCCATACATACATACAAATAAAAACAGAAAAAAAAGTACCAGCTATAAATTCTTTATATACATAAAAGTACATAACACAACCAATACACACATACACGGTTTGTGATCTCTCTGTGTGCGCGCTGAAGCAGCAACAACATGGAACGAACGTCGAAAACCTGTCGCTCCATCTCACTCTGGCAACCGAAGAGACCCAGGCTTTCAGTGCAAACGTCAATTATAAGCAAACAACGCGATGTTGCCAAACTTCATCAGGCAGAGGAAGAATTCATTCTCCCTCACGCCAGTGCGAAAGAGACACAGAGAGAGTCACAGAGAGAGAGAGAGAGAGAGAGAAAGAGAGAGAGCTAAGGCTGAGGCAACGTTGCCAAACTTCAGCAGCAGCATGAATTGTATTTGCTATTCTTGTTTCTCTCTTCTTTTGGTTCTTTAATGCATGGAATTTTAACATGCTCTCCTCCTGCCTCCCCCTTTCCTCTTCTCCCACCCTTAACGCTTCGTTGGGTTGGTTTTCGGCCTCGCAATGGACCCCCTTCCAAAACTCCCGGGTACCGGACCATGTTCTTCGAATGGAATGGTATATGGGATGTTCTTATGGAAACGGAATAGCAAGGGAGGGGCAGAGGTAGGGGTTGGACACCGGTCTGGGATCTGGAATGGATTATAATAACGTGCTGCTGTCGACAACGGACAACGTCTCTCATTTTCCACATTTTCCACCTTCTTCTCTGACCAAAAACCCTTAGGAAAATGTACATTTTCTGGCTATAAACGAAAGATTCCTATGGAAAAGGGTTTTTCAAATCCTTAATAGCATATTCCTACAGGAAATATCTCTTTTTTAAATTCTAAATTGAAATTTTTCTGACCCTAAATAGAAGATTCTTATATGAAGTATGTATCTCTATTCTGGGTAATTTCTGAAGAGGTGATTTTTCCATTATGTGTCTAAAAATAACATCCAATTATGTAATAACTCCTTTGATGCATTTCATTTCTGTTTCCTCTACCGAATTAATCTCCCAAAAGATCAAGAGATACATATGTATGTTTTTCGCCATGGAAATGTTCTATTCATGTTCTCTCCCGCATCATTGTTGTGCATTTTTATAAGGGAAATAATCATCAACATCCGACTTGAGGGCTCTATAAAGTGATCGCTGCAGATCTCTGTTTCTTTGCCACTTTGGGGGCGGGTGAATTGTTTGCTGAGAGATCTGGAGAGGCTTGTGAATCGTCCCCCATTGTGTATTTCAATATGTTTAAATTGTTGAGAATTGAATTAAATTAAAGATACTTTGCAATTTTTCCATTTTTAGTTGTTTAAATTCACATAAATTGGCGCAAGTGAAGAAATCTAAAGATCTTAAAGATCCAAAAGAAAGTGCTAAACCATCCCCCAAATAGTGTGAGAGTGATAGTGCAAAATGTATCTCAAAGTGTATCTAATAAATGTATCTCTTTCCCCCCTCATGAAATAGTGCAAATCCTTCATCAAAAAAAATATCTAAAATCGAAAGAAAAATCTAAACAAAAATCAAAGATAAAGAAGAAATAGATTAAGATCCTTTCAACACGGATTGAAATGTGTATAATGTTGAATGCAACAAAGTGGAGTGCGCAATCCATTTTAAATTAGATAAAGATGCGCAACCGTTGCCGTGGGGTCCATTTGTGGCATACGACGCGATGCAACGCCTAAAAATCCGTGGAAGAAGCAACTGCTGTGAGTGTTCGAATGTTGTCGAAACATGGTACGCGACAGTAGCCGTAACATTTGTTTTGGAAAATTAGCCGAAACTACGACAACCACAACGCCACAACAGCAACAGATCCTGCAACATCCAGTGCAGCCACATCATCAACAGCAGCACCAGCAGCCGCAGCAGCCAGCATTCGTTGTGGATAGCAGCAGCAGCAACAACAACAATCTGAATATTAATAATA